ATAAACAAGGTGGTCTATATCGACTGGAAGTAAAACCCGTACTGCCAGAAACACCACCCGAAGTCTTTGCAACTACAGCAACGATGCAACTGTACCACGAGAGACTCGCTCACCAAAATAAAAGACACGTAAGAGCGACTATCCAACGGGAACTAGGTCTAAACTTGCCGATGGATAAAGAGACCTGTGAAGGTTGCATCTTTGGAAAGGCGCATCGACTTAAATTCGGTACAAGAACCCGAGCTACCGCGCCCGGAGAAATCGTACACACCGACGTTTGTGGACCGTTTCAACCTAGCTTCTCAAACTATAAGTATTACGTTTTGTTTAAAGACGACTTTACCGGCTACCGTATGGTGTACTTTATACGCAAGAAGTCGGATCAAGTCCTCCATGAAGACCATGAACATGAAGAAGAAACGACTGTTCCAGAAGTATTTTATGACGCTGAACCACCGCCAACCGGCTATAATCTTAGAGATCGTTCACTGATTCGACGTCCTGAGAGACTAAGAGATTACGTCTGTATTACTGAAACATTTCCAAACAATTTCGCAGACGCTATGAAAAGGGACGATCGCGAAGAATGGCAAAGGGCAATGGATAGCGAATTGAAATCCTTCGAAGACCTGAACGTTTGGACACCGTGTGCACTGCCAAAAGGACGAAAAGCACTTCCATGCAAATGGGTTTTACGGATCAAAAGAAATCCAGATGGCTCGGTCGACAAATACAAGGCTCGACTTGTCGTAAAAGGATACAGACAAAGGAAAGGAGTAGACTATGACCAAACCTTCAGTCCTGTGGCACGCCTGGCTACTGTACAAGCACTACCTCGTCCGTCATATGCAGTTCTACGCCAGGCGCTAGGATTGTGTACCTACTATGTAAATGTTTAGGGAAAGTGTTGGAGTTGATAGACTTAGAAACTCCTTACAAAAGTAAACATAGACATAGATAGTGACAATCTTGTGAAGGAAAAAACTTCTGTCAGTTGAAAAAGTGTCATGTATAAACAAGAATAAAAAGAAACTGTGATTCCGTTTAAAATCTAAAACATCCGCGAAATTAACTAGAATTTATAAAAGTGTGTTAGTATATTATTCGTAACTGCATGCGCTCTGCGTTTCAAAGATCAGAGGACTGTGCTGGTAAGATCCTTGAATCACATCAAAATTCTATCTAATCAACACTCGAAAACTATTCCAATTTAATCTAATTATCAAATTACTATTTCAATACAAATTATGCAATTATCACGGACGCGTGACAACAAACCAAAACAAACCTGTCGGAAGAATAAAAACTGGTTTTTTACCGGCTAGTCAACAAGGAGTGAGCTGGATGAGAGAGAACAAAAATTAAAATATTCAAAACCTTACCTGTGTACAAATAGAGTTTAAATTACGTAATACATCAAACACCTATTCCTATCTCACACCTGCCTGCGCTCAAATTTGTTTGTCAGACAGAGACGGAGTGAATCTCTACGTTTGCACATAAGCTTAGCGAGAAATACGCGGTGCACGTAATACACGACTACGGATTATGCAATAATAACCTCTATTACTTTGATGGTAGGGTCGGAAATCGTGTAATTTAAAAAATACTTAGCGAGAAATACGCGGTGCGTGTAATACACGACTACGTATTATGCAATAATAACCTCTATTACTTTGATGGTAGGGTCGGAAATCGTGTAATTTAAAAAATACTAAGTGGATCAAGTATTTTAAAAATTGGAATAGGTGCCACTTAGTACTGTAAAATACCTAGTGTGTGGACCTGTTCTAGTAAATACGTCTCATCTCTAGTGAGGCCTATGTTCAGCAGTGGACGTCATGTGGCTGAAATTGACACACGACAAAACGAATTTCTGTTAATTTAGCCACAGAATAATAATAAGTACTACGTACAGAAGTTTTACTTCGCGAAGGTATTTAAAAAAATGTATGCTCAGTGTCATTAACAATATGGTGTAATTTAGCCTGTCTCAAGAGTCAAGCACCATTTTGTTGACAAACGTCAGTGATCGGCACTGCGCCGAAGCTATAGGGCTGACTTCGGTAAAATGATGTGACTTGAGGTGCCAAACTGCGGAAAATGGAGGAGAAAATTCATGATTTAGCATGAATTACAATATTAACTACTTATTTACCTCTCAGTGTCTTGAGGCAACTTAAAAAAGTACATTCTGTGTTTTTATTATTATTTAGGCAGTTAAATACTGCACAGTATTTAGTGAACAATTTTCTTTATTTTCTTCCATCATACACAAGAATACGCGTGCGTGAGTCAATGTTCGCTCGTATGTGAGGCCTTGTCGAATAGTACTCTTGTAGGGGGCAATCGTGCGTGTTTTGTTTTCGATGTAAACTCGCGGAGATGAACAGGCCTGATAATATTTCGTAGACATTCGGTGATGCATAAAAGTTTTTGTACTGTTTAAAAAATAGTGTTGTATTGATACGGGTATGTATACAGTGGCAAACGTCAACATACATGGTATGAGCTGGTAGGATATGAGCGCGACGTGTAGCGCCGTCCGCCGCATGTCGTCGGACGCGTCAACGTCCAAGCCGCACTCTAGCAGTAGCCGGGTAGACCGCATACAAGGGAATCTGCGAACAAATCATTCCAGTTACAGATGGATATTGTTACTAGCGGCCGCCCGCGACTTCGTACGCGTAGACCCCGTTTTACCTCTTTAGAGGTGGAATTTTGTAAATCTCGCCGTTAAAACCATCCTTGGAGTTCAACGAACATTAAACAAAATAATTGGTAAAATTGGTCCAGGCGTTGTTGAGTTATGCGCTTACCAACACATTGTGATTCATTTTTATACTATAGAAGAAAGATTTATGGCTCACAAAACAAGTTACAGTCATATTTAGGCACCAATTACAATCTAAGCAGCAACTCTCAACGTGGGAGCAGAGAATGAATTAAAAATAAAGATATATAAAGGGCAATCCCCATCGCATCGGCACAGTATCGATCACCGACGTATGTAAACGAAACGGTGCTCGACTCTGAGGGCTATATTTCACCGGGACACCATGGCGGCGCAACCAGTCGCCGGTTACCAACAAAATGTATACAGCTCTATAAAGAGTTAATCACCTGGTGTCTGTTTGGTTGCGCAAAGCTAGAAGAAGAAGAAGAAGAAGAAGCTAGAGAGAAGGTATTTTTTAAAATACCTTTGCGAATATTACACTACATTTACAAGTGTACGTATAAGTATGGCAGTACATAAAGTGGACCGACGACATTATAAAGATAGCAGGAAGGCGCTGAACACAGGCCGCTACCAACCGGTCAACATGGAAATCTTTGGGGGAGGCCTATGTTCAGCAGTGGACGTCCTATGGCTGAGATGATGACGATGATGATGAAGTACTGCGTACAGAAAATTTTCTTCGCGAAGGTATTTAAAAAAATGTCTAGGCTCAATGCCGTCAACAATGTGGTGTAACTTAACTTGTCTCCGAGTCGAGCACCGTTTCGTTTGACATGCCTATGTCAGTGATCGGTACTGTGCCGACGCGATAGGGCTGACTGTTACACGAAGCTACTGTGTCGCCATCTAGCGCCACGCACGCATTTTTTTTCTTATTTCCATTGTGAATATTTTTTTAACAATGGTTGAAGAATACTAACGTAAAATTTGAAAAAATACCAGAGCTCAAATTTTCAGCGTGTCAATAAGTGCTAGCAAACTGTCAAATAATTGCACACGGTTCTGTTATGGTTGTGTCACGTCGCATCACGCATCTCTCTTTATCACAGTGTTGCTGCTAGTGACTTCTCGCTCGCTCAGTCCTTTGTTGCTCTATTCCGCTAGGTATAATAACTTCATGGGTAGTACTTACTGGCACACGTCGCTGGTATGGAAGTCGTCTACAGGCGTTCACCGGTCGGCTGCCAAGTGCAGCAGCGTTTGACCAGACCTTAGTTGAACGTGTGGTAGCCTAAATACGGCTTTAGAAGAAGCTGCTGTGTCGCCATCTAAAGCCTGGTCCGTGAGCACGTAGAATTTTGTCCAATGACCCCAAGCTACCCATCCTTATCGCTCGCGTGTAATTATGTTGCTGTCGCGCTCGTACACTCACTGCGGGCGCCCGTCGCACAGTCGCGACAGCAATATAATTACACGGGAGCGAGAAGGATGGGTAGCTTGGGGTCATTGGACAAAATTCTACGTGCTCACGGACCAGACTATAGCTCTTACTACTTGCTTGTGAATGCCTTGTGGATTAAGCATCTCAGGAGAGTACACCGTGCATGTTTTGTTTTCGATGTATACTCGCAGAGATGAACAGGCCTGTACCTCTAGCATGAACAACTTTCGTCTTCGAATCGTTTGCGTATTCGACAAAATTCGATACTCAACTTTCGATTAAACGATAACATGACCATTTTGATTCTCAAAATAAGTTTCGTGCAACCATTTCTCATACTAAGTTCACTTTACGACACGTTCACAAGGGCGCTGTTGTAGTTTTCGTAATAATTCTTTTGATGGCGATTCGAATACGCAAACGATTCGAACTCGAAAGTTTTTTGTGCTAGCCGTACTGGTAGTACTTACTGGCACACGTCGCTGGTATGGAAGTCGTCTACAGGCGTCCGCCTATCGGCTGCCAAGTGCAGTAGGGTTTGACCAGACCTTAGTCGCACGTGTCGCAGCCTGAACACTGCTCTTCTGATGGAGCATTTGGTTTCCTGTAATGATTTATAATGTGCTGGTTATTTAAGTTATTTAAGCTGGTCCAAATTAAAATTTAAAAAAATACTTTCTGGTTTTTGCTTCACATAATTTAATTAACCTTTGATATTATTAATGTTTTTCTTTTCAAAATACTGTAAAAGTATGAAAGGCAATATGAAATGTTTGAATTTAATTTATACGTAAAATAGCACGCAGCGTCCCGTACTAGTACGAAAGTGTGACAAGTGACGCCACGCTCAGCTACAGAATAAATTTTATATTTTGTTATTTCAAAATATTCAACTCACAAATACCCAATGTATCGTCAGAAGTTTAATTTCACAACTGGCGATTGTATCTATAGTACAGTAAGCGTCAAATACTTCGTCATACTCAAAGTGACCAAAAAGTTGATAGCAAAACCATATTCCATTACAGAGCATCATCCTATGATATAATAAGTTTCTTTAATCGATTTTCTACCTTAGACTAAAAGCATTTTCATTTCCCCAATGGATTTTATATTTTATACCTTCAGAATAAAGTTCAAATAACTTACTTCGCAATTCCCTTCGTTTTCCAGCAGTCTTGCAGCCACAGCGACTAGATACAGCGCTGTCCGCACGTTGCTCTCATACTCCTCCTGCAAAACCATCGTGGCGACCAAACTCTTCGCGTCACTACTTGGAATGAACTCGCCAGCGATTGGACTCTGTGCAACGGTGATAAAGCGCGGAATGGATTGACAGAATCCAATCGGAATAATTCATTTGCAAGCGTAAGCGATTTTTTGGTATGAACGAAATTTTGGTCGTGAAGTAAGATGAAGTAAAGTAAGAGTAAGTAAGTACAGTCGATTGAATTGTAACATAAATATTTTAAAATATCAGCAAAAGACGAACACAAGATACATTTTGTGAATTATTACAAAAGCTCAAATAAGAGTGTGATGAAGAAAAATACATATTATTATAAGAAATATAAATAAAACGGATTTTATTTTTTTTACGCGGCTGTACTGTTCTTTAGATTAAAACAAAATACAATTCCATTAAAACACGAATGGATGGAGAAGCTAGCACAATGATATTTTATGGCGCAGTTACACTGTGCGGGAAACTGACCGAGACGAAGCGCGAGCTCGCACACCGAAGTATGGGCAACGCATGTCGAAACTAATTGAAATGCGTGTTTACACTATTTATCTCGATCAATTTCCCGCAGTGTAATTGCGCCTAGTCGAGAACGATTAGGATTAAAACCTAGTCCATTCTATGTACAAATATTTTTGTTTTTTGGAACAGAATACGTTTGCTCAAAATACTTATTCACTGGAGTCTTAAAGGTCAATCATACTTGTTAATGGTACTCATTTAAAAAATTGATAATGTATGTGTGCAAATCAGTGTAGCGTGTAGCAGCAATGTTTTGCTTTACGACAATGTAGTTATTTACATACTACTAAAGGTTCTGGGTCGTGGTTTGGTAGTGGCTTCTCCCATAGTGTTTTTCCTCTTTGTAATTCCTCGGCACATGCTTCTAATACATAACAGACCTGTAAAATAGAAACAAGATCATTAAGAACTTATTTAATAATAAAAAAAGCATTTAATATTTTTTCATCATAATAGACACAAAAGTATAGCTACGACTTGAATGGGGATTTGTAGAAGAAAAGTTCACATTCCCCCTTTGATGGGGCGAGTTAACGGGGACAATGAAATAAACCCAAATACATAAGATTTTTTACTATGAAATATAGGAAGTTTTCTTACGTGTGTGAGCGGTAATTCTATTCCTATGTGAATCATCTGAGAGAACACTTGAGCGAATCTGAGCAAATCTTTCACCACGGATACCTGGAAAAACAAATAACATTTAGTTTAGCTTGTAATAAAGCCTGGTCCGTGAGCACGTAGAATTTTGTCCAATGACCCCAAGCTACCCATCCTTATCGCTCGCGCGTAATTATATTGCTGTCGCGACTGTGCGACGGGCGCCCGCGGTAAGTGTGCGAGCGCGACAGCAACATAATTACACGCGAGCGATAAGGATGGGTAGCTTGCGGTCATTGGACAAAATTCTACGTGCTCACGGACCAGGCTTTAGATAGAAATTATTATCAATGCAACGGGGGATTTTGTATTCGCATTCACCAGTTGACGGTATCGTATTTACACTTATCAAGTTGGCGCCAAGTAAAGTTCTGCAATCCATCTATGGCACCAAGCAGTGATTCCAAATAAAGAAGCCTCATCATCATCACAATCAGCCATAAGACAACCACTGCTAAAGATGGAAACTTATCTTCAGCAACCCATTGATTTCCAGATGGTAGCGGCTTGCATCCAGGGTCTTCCTGCTACTTTTATGAGGTCGTCTGTCCACCTTGTGCCTCCACTCCAGAACCTAGCAGGAAGACGACGAGGACAGGAGGGGGCACTGACCGCGTTGTGCTGCCGCAGCAGCAGCGCGTGGCGCCACAGCGCGAGGCAGCGAAAGCAGAGTACTCATCTAGCCGTGTAGTATGTAATGTATCAGATACTGTATCAAGTGAGTACATAGGCACGAGCCCGCTGCGAGCTGCTCGCGCGTGGTTCGCAGGGAGATCGCAGCGACCCGCCGAGTGGCGGTATCACTGCGAACAAAAAGGAGGTTCGCAGTAGGATTCAGGAGCTCGCAGCCAGATACGCGATGACCGTGGACGAGCCGTACTCACTTGAAGGTTGGTTACGTTACATGCTACGTTACGTGCTACATGGCAGGTGAGTACCCTGCCGAACTACTGACTACTGACCGCGTTGTGCTGCCGCAGCAGCAGCGCGTGGCGCCACAGCGCGAGGCAGCGGTCGAAGCGCGCCTCGTCGGCGAACACGGCGCCGCGGAACACGACGGGGTGCGGCAGGGGGCGAGGGAGCCGCGTGCTACTGACCGCGTTGTGCTGCCGCAGCAGCAGCGCGTGGCGCCACAGCGCGAGGCAGCGGTCGAAGCGCGCCTCGTCGGCGAACACGGCGCCGCGGAACACGACGGGGTGCGGCAGGGGGCGAGGGAGCCGCGTGCTACTGACCGCGTTGTGCTGCCGCAGCAGCAGCGCGTGGCGCCACAGCGCGAGGCAGCGGTCGAAGCGCGCCTCGTCGGCGAACACGGCGCCGCGGAACACGACGGGGTGCGGCAGGGGGCGAGGGAGCCGCGTGCTACTGACCGCGTTGTGCTGCCGCAGCAGCAGCGCGTGGCGCCACAGCGCGAGGCAGCGGTCGAAGCGCGCCTCGTCGGCGAACACGGCGCCGCGGAACACGACGGGGTGCGGCAGGGGGCGAGGGAGCCGCGTGCTACTGACCGCGTTGTGCTGCCGCAGCAGCAGCGCGTGGCGCCACAGCGCGAGGCAGCGGTCGAAGCGCGCCTCGTCGGCGAACACGGCGCCGCGGAACACGACGGGGTGCGGCAGGGGGCGAGGGAGCCGCGTGCTACTGACCGCGTTGTGCTGCCGCAGCAGCAGCGCGTGGCGCCACAGCGCGAGGCAGCGGTCGAAGCGCGCCTCGTCGGCGAACACGGCGCCGCGGAACACGACGGGGTGCGGCAGGTCGGGGCAGCCGCGCCCCAGCACGCGCTCGCGCACCGTCAGCCCCTCCATGTGCAGGCCGTGCGCGTTGCCGTGGAGGCGCTCCACTTCCTAAAAAGAAAGAAAGAAAGAAACATTTATTGCCATGGACATCACAAAAGACAAAAGAGGTAAAAAAAAAAGCAAATAAGACAGAGGTGACATAAAACATACAATGAATGAGCAAGTCAACTAAGCAGTGCCACCCTGTCGCACATCGATGCCCATCGCAATGGGACCCCACTCAGCATATGCCGTGGCCCCCGGTGAGGGAGGCCACGACACTGGTTTTCAGTGTGCCCCATGCCGATTTAAACCAAAAACCACCACCAGCACCAAAAACATTAGTTTGGAACGATATACAAGCGTCTAGAACAGGCTTTCCCAAACTATGGGTCGCAACCCAGTGATGGGTCGCGACTCCGCGAGCGAACATTAAGTGGGCCCTGCCTGTAGAACGACACTCCACCCTACGGATCCAACCACTGGGCAGCGGACGAAATTTCCTGTAGGTGGGTCCCGAGTTTGGAAAATTGTATTAGATGAGTCGTAGCCCAGACAACTTTGTTAACCACAGATCTAGAAACTTCCAGAACCCACTAGAAGTCTTAAAAAGACGTAAACTGAAATGACTACGCAAAACAGGGCTAAAGCTGCGTTTCCACCAGAGATGTGCGAGGATGCGTGGCGAAGGATGTATTTGTAAAGAACCAATAGAATCACTTCAATTACCGAGGCGAGGTAATGAAGCGATTCTATTGGTTTTCTCTGATGGAAAGGCAGCCTTAAAATTAACATCAATGAGTTTGACTGGGAAGCTCAACCTGTCAGTAAACATTATATCTCTCAGGATCTCAGCTATGTAATGTCACCTAATAGTTCTGATAACATATCATATGAAGTCTTAAAATGGATTTAGGGAGAGGGAGACACATTGATTAATCAAATCAAAATCACTCAGGTGATGTTTACCTCAAGTGTAGTGCTCTCTTTCCAATTATCGTAAGCAGGTATAGGATCGGCCGGTTTCTTCAATAGCAGTCCATATCGTGTGTCGTAACGCATCGCCATCGCTCTGTGCAAGTATTGGTACGCCATCTGAAGAACGTAAATGTTACTAAATTATTGTATGAACAGTTTGAACAGCACAATATGCCCTTTGGTTTTGTTATAACCAAAGAGTACCAAAAGGGTTGTGGTAGGCTACTGAACGTGTCGTCATAACTGCCACAAGCTAGCGAAATGTTGGGCATCAACTATTTACTTTTTTTTTAATTTTGTATTTTAATTTTATTTTATCTCCTTTGTTTTTTGTGTGATGTCTCATGTTTGTTAATAATTTTATGCGAGTATTCCAGCTCTCTCCAAAAATGGTCAGCGCAGAATAACATCGTCATGTTCTGGGTCTTATTTACTACTCCAGCCAGAGCATGACACATGCTGAGCGGTGGCCAATTTTGGTTCCAACTACTTGTGTCTACTTGCTTTTTGTTATCTGTGTGTTATATTTTAAGTTAGAACCAAATAAATGTTTTTCTTTCTTTCTTTCAGTACTCCTCTTCTTTTCTTCGCGCTATCCCAAGACAGACAAAATAAAGTTTAAGTAACAACGGACATTCCTTGTCATAAAGGTTAGCTTCAGAAGAAGCTATATCATATCACGTGTTATTTTATCATCTCACGGTTTTTGTCTTCTGTCTACCAACACTTCCGAGTCCGCTACTACTGCTGCTAAAGCCTGGTCCGTGAGCACGTAGAATTTTGACCAATGACCCCTAGCTACCCATCCTTATCGCTCGCGCGTAATTATATCGCTGTCGCGACTGTGTGACTGGCAACCGCAGTGAGTGTGCGAGCGCTATAGCAATATAATGAGGGCTATCGTTTTTATACTTAACAGTTGGCACCTCTAGCGATTGACAGGACCTTACTCTACAGTGGCGCCATCTTGATGAGTGCAAATATGATAGTCCTCCTACCACTTTAGCGCTCACAAGTTGGCGCCACTGTCTTCGCTACTAGCAAGTGACAGGACCTTACTCTACAGTGGCGCTAACTGGTGAGCGCTAAAACGATAGCCCTCATTACGCGCGAGCGATAAGGATGGGTAGCTTGGGGTCATTGGACAAAATTCTACGTGCTCACGGGCCAGACTATAGAACAATACGCACCCGGAGGCAGTAGTACTCCTTGTCATTGGCGAAAGAGGCGCCGAGCAGCTCGAGCGCTTCTATGGCCTGCGCGCGCGAGACTTCAGGCCGCGCCGCCAATAGCTCCAACACCGACGCCCGGTAGAAGCTGTCTTTTACTTCTTGTAAGGCCTCAGCCTCGAGTTTAGCGGGCAGCGGCGCGGGAGCGGCGGCGGCGCGGGAGCGGCAGGATCTTATGCGTAAAATCAAATAGACCGGTTCTCGAAAACAGCGGCGCGGGAGCGGGCAACGAGCGGGCAGCGCACTCCTTCTTTTGCCCACAATAAATCAAGCGTTAGGAATAAATTTGAATCGAAATAAAATTGTCGCCGTTGTTCAGACATTTCGTCTATATACGAGGGCGGCACTGAAAATTTCGGGAATCAAGGAAGTGAAACAACATTACTATTTAAAAATGTATTTATTGCTTTTTAAAGTATTCTCCGCGAAATTTGACACATTTTTCCATACACGAAACCAATCATTGAAGCAACCATTGCATTCGGAAGTTTGGGTCTCCAAAATGGCCGTTTTGTAGGCTTCCACAGCTTCTTCAGGTGATGAAAATCTCTGACCACGCAATTTATTCTTTATTTAAGGGAAAGTATAGAAATCATTAGGGCTTAGGTCGAGGCTGTACGGCGGATGGACTAATAATTCTATGTTTTCTTGCTCTAAAAACTCCTTTGTTCAGTGCGCGGTGTGAGAACTCGCATTGTCGTGATGGAGGATGATGCGGCGGTTGCAGTTCTCTTTACGGAGTTCAGAAACGACCTGTGGCAAACAAATGCTAGCATACTAATCTGCATTAACCGTTCTTTGTCCCCCAAGAGGAATAGTCGCAACATGGCCGGTTTTGGAGACAAACGTGGCCACCATTTTTTTTNCGCGGGAGCGGGCAACGAGCGGGCAGCGCACTCCTTCTTTTGCCCACAATAAATCAAGCGTTAGGAATAAATTTGAATCGAAATAAAATTGTCGCCGTTGTTCAGACATTTCGTTTGCGAATAAAAACAAATATCTTGACAACACAACCCCGAACACAACACTTCGCCGCTAAAGCGCCGCGCGAGCTACCCGCTTGTTTCGAGAAAGAACGGGTCTGCGTTGCCCGCCCCGCTCTCGCGCCGCCGCCGCTCCCGCGCCGCTGCGTGCTAAATTCGAGGCTGAGGCCTTACGCGTCGTGGTCTGTCTCCTGTCTTCATCACTATCGCATCCGCTTCTGCTGTTGAACAATACGCACCCGGAGGCAGTAGTACTCCTTGTCGTTGGCGAAAGAGGCGCCGAGCAGCTCGAGCGCTTCTATGGCCTGCGCGCGCGAGACTTCAGGCCGCGCCGCCAGTAGCTCCACCACCGACGCCCGGTAGAAGCTGTCTTTTACTTCTTGTAAGGCCTCAGCCTCGAGTTTAGCGGGCAGCGGCGCGGGAGCGGCGGCGGCGCGGGAGCGGCAGGATCTTATGCGTAAAATCAAATATACCGGTTCTCGAAAACAGCGGCGCGGGAGCGGGCAACGAGCGGGCAGCGCACTCCTTCTTTTGCCCACAATAAATCAAGCGTTAGGAATAAATTTGAATCGAAATAAAATTGTCGCCGTTGTTCAGACATTTCGTTTGCGAATAAAAACAAATATCTTGACAACACAACCCCGAACACAACACTTCGCCGCTAAAGCGCCGCGCGAGCTACCCGCTTGTTTCGAGAAAGAACGGGTCTGCGTTGCCCGCCCCGCTCTCGCGCCGCCGCCGCTCCCGCGCCGCTGCGTGCTAAATTCGAGGCTGAGGCCTTACGCGTCGTGGTCTGTCTCCTGTCTTCATCACTATCGCATCCGCTTCTGCTGTTGAACAATACGCACCCGGAGGCAGTAGTACTCCTTGTCGTTGGCGAAAGAGGCGCCGAGCAGCTCGAGCGCTTCTATGGCCTGCGCGCGCGAGACTTCAGGCCGCGCCGCCAGTAGCTCCACCACCGACGCCCGGGAGAAGCTGCGCGCTCGGCGGCGCACTGTAGCGGGGTCATGCCTGCAACAAATGATAATCGAGTTAATCAAAATTCTACTATTATTGATATGATTAAATGTTTGTATGTTTTTTTGTGTGCATGGAACGGTTCGGAACAAACTGCATTGAATCTATATTGCATGTTGTGTCAGCCTATAATTGTTGTTGCATTGTAACTTTGTTCATAATTGTTATTTTTAAGTGTACATGTTGTAATGTAACAATGTTGGTAGACCTAATAAATAAATAAATAAATGCATACAGATATAATAGTACATAAACAAAGCACGCAAAGAAAAGTGCCTTAGATGTGTCTAAGCGACTTTTCACACTTCTGAGGTGGAATTGTGTAAACAATCGTTATTATTCTGTCAAACGCTTTGTTTAACTGACTTTATCGTACGTTATGAACTGTCAAATGATTACGATTGCTTTACACAATTCTACCTCTGGTTGGGGTGATTTGAATACTCGACGAACTGTCTGGCCACGTCAACGTCACGTGTGTCCCATGTTGTCCCTTCTGACAACGAAGGATACTAAATATTGAAGGACCCCAAGCAAGTATTTTTCGTTACATTAAAGTTATTTTTTCCCCAATGATGGGCCCAAACTAGTCACACGTAGCTTTTGGACTAAACTTGTGACCCTTAGCTTTGGCAGGACACTAATGCCTGTTTTCACCATCAATCCCTAATTTTTAAGTCGCCCCTATAGCAGGNTAGAAGCTGTCTTTTACTTCTTGTAACGCGTCGTGGTCTGTCTCCTGTCTATCACCACTTTCGCTTCTGCTGTTGAACAATACGCACCCGGAGGCAGTAGTACTCCTTGTCATTGGCGAAAGAGGCGCCGAGTAGCTTCTATGGCCTGCGCGCACGAGACTTCAGGCCGCGCCAGTAGCTCCACCACCGACGCCCGGTAGAAGCTGTCTTTTACTTCTTGTAACGCGTCGTGGTCTGTCTCTGTCTTCATCACTATCGCGTCCGCTACTGCTGCTAAGGCCCGGTCCGTGAGCACGTAGAATTTTGTCCAATGACCCCTAGCTACCCATCCCTATCGCTCGCGCGTAATTATATTGCTGTCGCGATTGTGCAACTGGCACCCGCAGTGAGTGTGCGAGCGCGATAGCAACATAATTACGCGCGAGCAATAAGGATGGGTAGCTTGGGGTCATTGGACAAAATTCTACGTGCTCACGGACCAGACTATAGAACAAAACGCACCCGGAGGCAGTAGTACTCCTTGTCGTTGGCGAAAGAGGCGCCGAGCAGCTCGAGCGCTTCTATGGCCTGCGCGCGCGAGACTTCAGGCCGCGCCGCCAGTAGCTCCACCACCGACGCCCGGTAGAAGCTGTCTTTTACTTCTTGTAAGGCCTCAGCCTCGAGTTTAGCGGGCAGCGGCGCGGGAGCGGCGGCGGCGCGGGAGCGGCAGGATCTTATGCGTAAAATCAAATATACCGGTTCTCGAAAACAGCGGCGNGGCACCATCACATCATTTTACCGAAGTCAGCCCTATAGCTTCGGCGCAGTACCGATCACTGACGTTTGTCAACAAAACTTCTGACAAACTTGCTTGACTCTTGAGACAAGCTAAATTACACCATATTTTTAATGACATTGAGCATACATTTTTTTAAATACCTTCGCGAAGTAAAACTTCTGTACGTAGTACTTATTATTATTCTGTGGTTGAAGTCTTGAGCTAACAAATCCGCGTTATTGCGAGTTCGCTGATAGAGTTAATTATTAGGTTTCCAAAAATTTACAATGTCACAACTCTCCTCGGTCTACAAGATGGCAGTTTGTCTCTAAGACGAAAATATTCAATGCCTATAGTAAGACTTAATATGAATTGTGTTTTCATAGGGGTCACTTAAAAATTAGGGATTTATGGTGAAAACGGGCATAAGTATAAAGTAGGAATAGAACACGCACCGCTCTCGTTGGTAAGTATCCTAGCCTGGCGGTCGAGTAGCGCGCATACAACCGCCGCGTGACCGCACTCAGCCGCGAAGTGGAGAGCCGTCGCGCCGCATAGTGCCCGCTCGTCCACCCGCGCGCCACTCTCGAGGAGAAACTGAACCTGCCATGCGATTATTAGTGATGAGTATTTTGGATAGATTAAAGCCCGGTCTGTGAGCACGTAGAATTTTGTCCAATGACCCCAAGCTACCCATCTTTATCGCTCGCGTGTAACGCGTGCACTATATTGCTGTCGCGACTGTGCGACGGGCACCCGCAGTGAGTGTGCGAGCGCGAAACAACATAATTACGCGATAAGGATGGGTAGCTTGGGGTTATTGGACAAATTTACGTGCTCGTAGACCAGACTATAAGCTCTTAACAATAAAACACCATGGAGTGGATTTTAAAGTCGTCTAATCATAAGAGACCAAAACCTCTACATGTCTAGGTCTTCTCTCCAATCTCCTGTCTGTAGTTTGCACGAACTTTATAGTCCTATGTAGTCTTAGCAAATAGACTTTAGTCATCGGAAGATTTGCTAAATTTACTGCGCGGGTGATAACCTCATAGGAATTAATCATGGACGCGCCAGAACACGAGTGTTAGTATAGTACTTGTTCACCTTATGTATGCGCCACGCTAGGTTAGGTCTTTCAAGAATATAGAATACCATTTAAGCAGCACTGCTGATTGAGAAGACTGTATACATAGTGCCTGCAATCCAAACACAGTTGGTGTGCAACTTGCGTGTGATCATATTGTGTATGAGCGTGCCACTTACCACATCCAGATGGCCTTTATAACTTGCTATCATGAGGCACGTATTATTGTATTTGTTCGCCTTGTGTATATCGGCGCCATGCCGCACGAGGTATTTCACGATGTCGAGGCGTCCGTCGAAGCACGCAGCACGAAGCGGCGTGCTCAGCGTTTTGGTCGCGTGGTTTACATTTGCACCAGCGCGCACTAGTCGCTTCACTATGCCTAAGTGCCCGGCGCCGGCTGCGCACCATAAAGCTGTGGCTCCTGGGGACAATAAAATAATATTTATTGTGTGTGACAAGGTTGTCAAATAAAACGGGTTCACTAATCCCCGTCAAAGGGGGATTGTGAACTTTTCTTCCACAAATACTCATTTAATGAATGGAATTCATCAAAAGCTTTTCTTCCACAAATCCTCGTTCAGTGTTAAAAGAGAATCCCCATCGACTCGCCCCATCAAAGGGGGATTGTGAACTTTTCTTCCACAAATCTCCATTCAATGCTAATAGTAAGTCCCCATCGACTTGCCCCAAGAATGGGGGATTATTTGCTAAACGGTGAATTTAAAGAACATAGAATCTCGCGGTAGCGGAAGACTTCTTTTGACTTTTGAAATATTTACGCCATGACACATTGAATAAACTAGCAGAGTGAGAAAGTATAGTGGGTGTGCCTCCTCATGAGAGAAAACCACATTTAAATTTAATTTTATGCGTCATTTAACAACTGTGTGTTGCAAATAGTTGTTGTGACTATTTCACAATGATTGCTAATGGTGGAATTAAAAATAAGACATAATTATCAAGTATAGAAGAGATGATTCGTGAAATGCTGTTCAGAATAAATAATGTGTGACTGCGCTTGAGTGGGACTTACTTAAAACTACTATAATATTGTCGACTACACATTTGACGATACTCATCACTTCAGTTATTAGCTCTTCCTTCACTCACTATCGACTAAGGACAGATTTTTAAATCGTCGGATAACTTTTAACTGAGGAATAAGACAGTTTCAGTATGGGAATTAGAACGATACAACAGACGTGAACAAATAAATAGAAGTAGGCGAAAAAACAAGACAGAACGAAATGTTCAAACTAATTTGCCAGCAGGATACGTTTACCACCATAATAATTTGTATACAACTGCAGTAGAATTCCCTAATAGATCGTTCGCATACAATCGATTGCGTTTCAACTATGTAAGTACAAAAGTTTTCAGGCAAAAGGACACCACTATTTTAGAAATAATACCATTTTCTTGATGCATTTTTAAGTTTATCTCTCTGCGACTACAGTTGTGTAACTGGCGTACGAAATTCGCTTTTATTATGTCAAAGCCACGTTTTTATCTTTTATCAGGACCGTAGTAAATAATAAATAAATATTCCCCGAATAATTAGATAAGAGATAAGTAAATACAAAAAATGTTATCACCAAACCGTATCTCGAAACATGTGTAATGATATTGACATTTAATTTTGTCGTTAGCGATTATTTTAATCATTCACAGATAAATACTCGTAATCATTTATTAGAATGTAAATCAGCGCATACGTCACACATAAAATTGATGCGTCAACGTCTAATTTATCCAAACTATGTGCGTTCATAGTGTCATTCCCGTGAAACGAAGATGAAACGTAACTCAAGCGCAATGTAATCAATTACCTCTCCTCATTTAAACTACGATAAATACGTCCGAAACGCGACAAGAACGCCTGCACCGCATCTAGTCACAGTCCAAAGCCAAATTAGTTATAATATAATCGCTGTAAATCATAAGGAAGGAAACAAAGACTTTGGATTCTCGCCAAAAACGCCCCATTGAAACGTTACCGGTCAATTTTCAGTTCCTTTGTATGTAGGAGAGCTTTCTCTCTAAATATAGAGCATGAAAACGACAACGTGCAAAAAAATAAGTCAACGCACTTGTTTTTGTTATTGAATATCTGGAACGGGCGACTTTTCTTTCGCTCCTGTGTTTGAAGGCGAAGGCAGGGGCGTAATAAGGGCTGTGTAGGGGCCCCACTCTGGGCCTTGGAGCCCGATGTAAAGGATACTCCAAACTCCAATGCAAGAATTACTGTTTTATTTTTCCATAAATCTCAAAACAACATGTATTTTAATTTAGTGGAAGCTTTCAGGGTTGCAACCAAAAAATAACTTATTTTCCTAATAAGTAGTTTTCATCGTTCTTTATTTACATCTGGGGCCGTCTGGACCTAACTACGGATCTGGCAAGCGGCATTGAGGGTTCCGTGAATCGGTGCACTTGACATTGAGTCAGAGAGCAGAAATAACAGGAGTGGAACTGACAGGCAATCCCCTCTAGCAATGTAAGTAGACCAGTGGTTCACTCAGTTTATAAAAACTAGTTGCAGCGCCACCAATGACATATTCCAAATGTCACTATTGAAGAGTAACGTGCTGCGATAAAAATGGTNGCGAGGGCTATCTGTAACAGTTCGTTCATAGATTTACATAGAAGTCTACGCCAGTGTTGAGAGCTTATCTCTCTATACAAACGTGAATAAAGTTATTTATTTTAGCCGAATATAATACATGTAATATTAAGTTATAGTAGATATAAGATTTTAGTACTATAAGAAGTTAAATAATTTACATAAAATGAAACTATGTAAATTCGAAGCTTTGAGCTTGGTTTACATAGGTACATATTAATTCAATAGGTGTTAACACGGGTTCACTGCCACTAAAGAAATACTTAGGAAAACCAATGCCGTCCTTTGAGTCAGTATAAAGCGTTTCAGGCCTAAGAGCCCATTCAATAAATAAAACCTCTGCTAAGACTCACACCCGGCTTTTAGCAACCGCTCACGTATCGAGCGGGATGTAAAGACGTTTTGCCAGAATTCCCGTTATCCCACAAGAACTGGTAATTCGATTGCGTTTGCTTGAAAATAGATTTCTCGGAGGCCACAAAACTAAACTACGGATGGAATGGGGGATGGACGTGACCACCTGAGGGTCTGGGGGGAAATAATTTCCCAGGTAATGACTCGGCAACGGCGGATGTGTAATGTTGTTATTACTGTAATGGAGGGATGAAACCTCTATTGTTCTAAGGCGATTTTCCACTGACTTGTTTCTTCCTGGGAAAGAAAACATGTCAGGTGGTGTATAGAAAAGTTTCGCCTGTTGATATTTGCTCCCATTATCGTCCTATGATAGGTTTGAACCCAAGTCGGTTTCAATGTTTTATTCTTTAGTTTTTATGAGTAAGTTTAAACTAGAAATGTCATAATGTGATTGTATTAATCAAGAATCAAGTTAAGAGCCTAGGAATCAATTCCTGCCTAATCTTGAAGATAGTTCCTTTACTACCAAGCAACATTAGTATGCAAAATATTGACGAGACATGTTATTATACACCTCAAGCAGTTCCATCAAAACATTCTCGTAGCTCGCTCACCTCTGACACGAGTATGTCTCATATCGCCCACGCCGCAATCGGCGGATCACCTGTCGGCTTTGAGAAATTCATTTTATTTGAATTCCGTCGCGCGAGCGCGCGTGCATGAGCGCACGCGTCGCGACCTACTCTAGTGACTCGAAGATTGCAAACAGAGCAAATATGTACATTGTATTGTTGACTGTGTCGATACGCATTTTATGGAGAAATTATTAAAACTTTACTCTAATGCCTGAGATATTAAAAAGATAAAAATTACTTAGCTTAAGATTTCGAACCACACTACCTGCCACAAGTACCCAACCACACTACCCGCGTCCACCGACTATATTTACGCACGTCAACGTAAACATTGTGGTATCTTACGTAGTTGCGATAAGAGCGATTTTACAACGAAAATGAATAGTCTGATGTTTATATGCTGTCGTCTGTACAAGCAAATGCAAGAAACACCGGAGCCCTCCCACAATTTCCATGCAGCACAGATGCAATACTTAGTTAGTGCCAACACCGACATGCAAAAAACCTCGACGCGTTTCACTGCTCCACGCGGCACCCTCAGGAGTTGATGTTGTCGCCTCGGCTGCGTTCCGACGACTGACGGAAATCTAAAGCTAAGTAATCTTATCTTTTTAATATCTAATAATGGATTTTCGCAAAGTAACGCCTGATACTATTAATGATGCCTGAGACTTCAATACCTACTGATTTTAAAATAATACATCGTTACATTTTGCATAAATTGTAATTGTTACTGACAAAATAACTACATTTAAATTCACTTCTCGGTACACGGAGATGTTATTTAGAAGCGTTAGTAGGACTATCTATATTTGGAGCCTACCAATATATTCGAATATGAAAAAATCTAAACCGCGTAAGATAGATGAAGGGGGTAAAACGGGATCCACGCGTACGAAGTCGCGGGCGGCCACTAGTATTCGAATAAAATACAAAGATAAACCAAAACATCAACAGTACCTACAACTTTTGCTTCCTAAGAGGCCCCTAACTAGCAGACTCTTGGGAAAATAAGTTACGTTGACATGCTCTGAAGAAGTAGTACAATTTAAAATTAAATTACTGACCCGTATCCAAAACCAATTAAAGTTATAGGAAGTAATTCCTTAAACAACAAATAATTTAATTAAAATCAAAGCATGGTATCCGCGTACCATTTACCATTTTTAAGAAGGTAAGTACATAATATTTCAATAGAAACGGTTAGACGGCCAGTAGAATTGTGAACTTTAGGTTTATTATTTCTCAAATTAAGCCAATATACGAGTGATAAGTAGGTTAATAATATTTGTGTAATTTTCTTTAACAAGTTAAAGTTACAATCGACCGTCTGAAACATTAAAAATATTAATAAAATCTCAATGGACGCTTAGCATTATTTTATGAAGCCAGCTGTATCAACACAGCTTCAATCACAAAATCCTAAGATGAAAACACGGTATCCGAGCTGAATAGAAATAAAGATATAACGGTCGGGGCTCATTCTCAAACAATCCAGTATAAAAGCCGGAGTATGGAATCCGAGAACAAAGCTGTACAGGTTGCCTAGGTTGTAAATGAGTGTCCGTTATAACAGCCGATACGACTTTAAATATTTACGTTATTTATAGTTTCTGAAAGACAATTTGTCCTAGTTTTAAAGCTTTTCAATCAGCATCAGCTTAATGCAGCCACCATATTGGTCATATAATGTGATTATTGATTAATGATGAAATAGAAAATAGAAATTTGTTATAATAAAGTTGTGAATAAATGTGACATCAAAACCCTTAGCGCAAATTTGGCTAAATTGAAAGTGAAAAAGTG